CAGTTTAAAAAAGAGAAATTAGATCTCTTTTAATTACAATAAATCTCTATAAATATTTCATTTTAAAGATTAGAAAGGTTTTCAAATATTTTGTAATCAGTTTTTCTTTTTTTGAAAACTTTGGTATTAAAAATGTTATTTGATTTTTCTTGATTATTAAAAGTTAAGTTTTTGAATGAAGAGGTTTGTAGACAATAAAAGAAGAGTAGCAGTGACTCTTGAAATTATATTTCAAGTTGTTTTAAGAAAAGTATTAAGACTTTATTAGCAAAGAAGTATAAAACCTTTTTGTAAATATCTTTTTTATGTGTTATTAGAAGATTAGCAGAAAGATTAGTTATTATTAAAATATTAATTTTATTATTTTTTTAATTTTAAATCTTCATATATTTTAAATTAGTTATTAAATATATAATATATTGAAAAATTTTCTAATTATTAATAATATACTGTAATAGAGATATAACATATTAATATAATTATATAATAAGATTTTATTAATTATATATATTTTTTACTAATATATTTTATATTAATCAATAATTTTTTAAGTATTTTTATACTACTTAAATTTTAGAATCAAAATTGAGATGGATAAAATATCTTAAAATTTAATATTTTAAAAAGTTACAAACTATATAGAAAGATTCTTTATATTTTTGAAAGTAATACTTTTTAATATATTGTATAAACTTTTTTATAATCATTTTTTTTCAGAATCTTTTTGTTATTGATAGAAAAGTAATATTTGTGTTTTTATCAATTAATAAAAACTTAAGTTTTTGTTTATAAACAAGTAAAAAAAAAAAAATTAAAATCAAATTTTGAAGATTTTTTTCCAATTGTATTAAGAAAGCTATAAAGATTTTATTAGTGAAGAAGTATAAAATTTTTTGTGAACATCTTTTTTATATATAATTAAAAAATCTGAAAAGTTGTAAATATACAATATTAATATATAGTATCTTAATAAAAATAAATTATTAAATTATGAGAATGAATTTTTATTGAATTATCATTATTATCAATTAAAAAAAATATAATGTTACATTTTTTTTTGTAACACCGTGTATATAATAAAGGTATGAAGTACAGTTTCAAAATGTGACTCGTGGGATACAATTGATTGTTAATTTTTTTTTTTTCCAGAAAAGCTTACTGGTCTTATCATATTGATTATTGAAAAATTTTTTAAATTACACCGATTATTAATTTTTTCAAAAAACTTACTAAACGAAGAAAAAGAGATTTTTTTTCTTTTTTTGGAAATTATTGCTTATTAATTACAAAACTATATATTTGAAAATAAAACCTCTTAGAATATTACATACAGTATGTCTGTAGTACATACTGTATATTGTCTTTATTTGACAAGTAAAGCAATCGTGCCCTTTTTTACTTTGTTGATGTCAGGTAAATACATGAGAGTACCCGGATGTCAATGCACAGGGATGCATCGCGAACAGTGCTATTGGCGACTAATCCGGAATTCGTTTGAATAGATTTCAAATTTAGATAACAGGATGTGCTCTTATACAAATCTCATCATTTACGTACATAATAAGAGGTTAATAAATGGATACGGGTGGAAATGTACGTCATCGATGAATAGGGTGTACAATTTTATGTCAAAAAAAAAAAATGTTGGAATAACGAAATGATAATACTGCACATACGTACATATGTTAGCATATATTCATAATATTAGCAAAAAAATTTTCCGCGTGTGTCATGTCATTAAAAGTGGCACATCAAAATTTATTTACCATGTGCTAATCTTGGTATTCATCTTTATTCGTCATCAATCGGCGTCATGCTCCGTTATGCACGGTATGTATGTGCAGTACATGCCTTGAGGGTTCTGTTGGTTCAGTTAACGAAAATGATGATCGATTGATTCTATCAATGTGAGTGATTCATTCCCATCAATGCACGAGGATGGTCGGTGATCGATTCTTTCAATATGAAATGATTCCGACCAGGAGAATCTATCCACGAAAGCGGTAATGAAAGGTGCTTTTGATTGCCAACATGGGAGTATAATGTAAAAGAAAAGGAAAAAGGTGATAACAAAAGAAAAGAGAAAATAAATTCAGTGAAACACACAATCGTGTCTTTTGGTGGATTATCCCGGTCCCTCAGCCCCCTAATTGACCGGGTTCGTTAGAAAGCACCTCTCCGGGGAAACACCCACTTCCTGCATGCGTATTTGATTTATGCGAATCCCCCGTCCACGAGTTATTTCAATGATCTTTTTTTTAGAATGTTTTATTGACGTGCTTGTCCCTTCAGAAATGTTTCGTTCTTTCTCCCTCAAGGAGCGCATCTCTTCTCTTTTTCTTCGTGCAAATCAAGTGCATGCAAAAAGAATGATGTCGCGTCTCTGGACTTCATTGTCTTTTTGAAAATACGGTAGTCGATACAGTTTTATCTATTATTATTATCTTATTTTAAAACGTCTGTTTAGCAAATACATACAGTATAACGCTAATGCACAACCAAATTTGTGCTGAACACATTTTTATTTGCTGCAACATGCAATAAATTTATTATTACATTCGGGGCAATTTCATTCAATAATTGTCATATCGAACTTGTTTTTCACATTAATACATTTGTTTGAAATATCCCATAACATTTCTGCATTAAATATTTTTTTTTCCAAGATTTCCGAACGTGCATGGCTTAAACTCAAACATTTATGTTCGGCTTATTCGACGATGATTCGATATCATGCATAGCATTACCTTGTTGAACATCTCTAACCGAGAATCAGTCGTTACATAATGTGCGTGGTGCTCGCGGCAAACCGATTAAAATTACCGATTGACACTAAATTGGCGGGGAATTTATTTTTAATAAAGAATGAAATTCAATCACTGATTTTAATTAATACGATCGATCCATCAGTTGATGCACTGTATTTATTATTATCATCAATAACAAAATTACTAATTAACCAGTTAACTGCCTTGTCACCAAATGAGATAAGCTTTTTATTTGCGTCCCTCTCGTGTAAACAAAAAATCAAGTAATGAGTGATGAAAACAAATTTATTTGCGTGAACGATATAGCGGGTTAGCGCACGACGAACGGATGCACGGAGTGGAAAAAGGGCCATAGGATTAGTGTAAGTGACAGATAGATTATGTACACATATCTGCACGTTCATCACGTGCAATCGCGGATTATGACAGGGTTGTTTGCATTATTAATTTCACGTGTACCCTCGGACAATTCGCCCAGCCCATCTTCCTAAACTGTAAAAAGAAATTTTCGTACACACGTAACATCAGCTGTTTCTTAGTAATAATACGCATATCATAACGGTTACAGAAAAATAAAGAGTTACCCTTCGTCATTGTTAAATGACTCTAATCGTACGTAAAGCGCATTTGTCTATTGTTGGACTTTCGATGGTTAAAAATATGTGAGACTGAAGCACGGTTTTCTAAATATAAAGGGTGTGCGGGATGCTCCTTATGGTAGGCAGGCTTGGCAGCCTGGGTTTTCTAATCGTCACCAGTCACCACCATTGGTGTTAAGATGAGAACCCCTCTTTTTTTTAACTGGGGTCTATCGAATGTTACAAAATCAAACTCACAAGGGGACACGACCCACGTACAGTACAATAATGCCTACTTTATTGCGAACCTACTTTTTGTGTCATAAATACACTACACAAGTACGCATTCAAAATCACCAGGATATGTGCAACACGCATACACGCGCAGTTCGTTGCAACTGTTCATTCCCCTTTATTCTTCTTCTTTAATGTCAGATGCCGATCAAAAACACATCTATTTTTTGCAATCAATTACACGGAAATAAGGGATCGACTCTGATTTAGTAATTTGATTATCGCGCAACCATATCCTCACATTCATTACCCTACCTAAAAAAAGCTTTTTAAAAAAAGAAGTCCCTGATCAATTTGCCAAAAATTGTTTGAAGAATCGCTAATTAGTACGTAAGTGCGTATGTACTGCACGCATCTTTTTTTTTTTTTTTTTTTTTTCGGTGTATACGCACACACAATCGTCCATGTATATAATAAGTCTGTCTACATGTCGTAGGATGAGCGCATTACACCAGGTAAAACATTTGCTTAATAAACACAATAAACACAGACATCATTTCCAAAAGTAAGATCGCGATTCGAATATCGGTAAACTCTAATCCCATGTACAGTATGGTGCACACGTAATACTAAAATAATAATAGGGAACCAAATTTATTCTTCCTTATATGGTCGGGTTGGTTAGAAATTTTAGTCTTTGAGTACGTGACACCCGAATTATCTCCATATACTGTGCTAATACTTACATGACACTATTTACGTAAGATAATTTTTGTTCTAGCGTATATGTACGTGTGTAGCGTACTTTATTTAATATACGATCAAGCTACTGCCGGCGGTGTTTTATGACGTTTTGTCATTTTCCGTTTCTTCCCTTCTTTTTTCTTTCTTTCTTTTTTTTTTTTTTCCTTCTCAACTTCGGTCGTCGAACGACACCTCTTGTGTCGATAATTGGTTATCAAGATAATTTGGGTAGGGTTGGATGGTGCTGGGTGAAATTCAATAATAATAATAAAATAAATTAATTAATTAATACTAGAACTAGAAAAGAAAAGAAAACAAAACATCTGGGATCATTAATGTCCGGACATAATAAGAACTATTATAATTGCATTATAATTAGGTTGACTTCTTGTTGCTATAATTCTACAATCGGCTCTCACCACAATAGACATCACCCGAGAACAACAAACAAAAAAAGAAAAAACTTCTACAGCGCGCACATAGACGACACAAAATCAAAAGGAAAACATCCCTTTGCCGTTAAAAAAAACAAACCATCCATTTTCCGTTCTCGCACAAGGGGAACGTTTTCACACACACACACACTAAGTGTTGTTGTTGTTGTTATTGTTGTTGCTATTGTATTATGATAAGAGTAAATTGGTCAGAGCAGGTGTTTTCATCCGGGGTGGTTTCTATGTTATTATATTCCTACTATTTGATCCTTTCCACGATAATACTGTCTCATGGCCCTCAATTGTCGTCAGCTCTGAGTCCAATCACCACCGCAGGTCCAGGCACCTATTCTCTCGCATACACACCCACCGCAGCTGCCACCGTAGCATCAACGAACTACACGGAGGACGGCTTTCCCGGCGGATTTCAGGTGATTGCGGGCACCACCTATGAGGATGGGTCCATACTATTGAGAATTCGACCGAACACCAACGAGAGTTGTAAATCGGAGACACTATACCTGAGAATAATTGCCATCGATGGGACCCTGTTGAGGGTAAATATCAATGGCAGTCAATTTTCGTCGATTAATTTTTGCCCGGCGACGAAGGATTCGGATGCGAACCCATATTTCTACGGGGGAGCCGAGAGTTTTGGCTATCCGACGGACAACTTCAATATGTTTGCCATCGCCAAAAATTACATTTTGTTGAATTATTTGTGCGGAAATTCTACGCAAAATTTTTGTTGGATGGTGGTGGATTGGAGCGGAAATGTTTTACAACGGTAGGCATACCGGCATTTGGGATTGCGATGTGGGAGATGTTGAACGAACGAATGCTGTTAACTCCACGTGAAATTCTGATCTAATTTCTATTTATTAATCGACAATGCGTGTTTTTTTTTTTAAAAAAGCGACTTACCCGCGGGAGAAAACTGTGACGCCTTGGGCATCGCGCAAAACTTTAACCCTCAATCAGGATTCTTGTGGGTGTGTTATACGAATTCGACCAGTCAATTGAATTGGAAAAAGGTCGGTTATCCGTAAGTACAAATGCTTATAGCATGAGAAGTTCGTGTTTTTTTTTTGGTTTTCTTCTTTTTTTTTCATAAATCGTTTATTGATTCTTTACTAGCTTCTTTTTTTTTTTTAAAAAAAAAAAAAAATCTTATGGATCGCGTTTTATTTTAATCTTTGGAATAATTATGTATACGACTACTACGCGGGAACCATGATTAATAATAACCGTCACCGACATCATCCAACCCAGTGACATCACAGGCGCCCTATCGGTGATAAATTCCGGGACGATATCCAACATCCAAAAATTCAGCTCCAATTTCACCTCGATATTCTCCACCGAGGACGGTGGTTATGGCATCGTCACAGCGCAATACAGTTCCCTCGATAACTCCTCGGGCATCGCCAAATACTATCCGCCTTGGACCGCATTTGTGAACTTTATCAACCCGGGCACCGGGAACGACACCAAAGGTCCCTTTCAAATCTTTCAGCAACCTAATCAAGTTCTCATCGCATTAAACATCTTCCGGTGTACCATTTCGTTCGCGTCGTACGGGTATAATTGCATAATGTATCAGATCCCGCTGAGTGGGAGTCCGAGTTTTTTGAATTTGGATTTTCTGAAGAGCGGTGCGGTAATCAATACGAACCCTGTTGACGTGAGTGTAACGGGATTGGTGGTGTGGGACACCGAGACCCTGTTCGAAGGGGGATACTTGATAATGACCATGGCCGAAGCAAATGGCGCGATCGACGGGAAGGTGTACGCGAACAACGGAAGTTTTTATGCCGATTGGGGAATGCCAACCGTCTATAATTATACGCGGCACGTGGGGGTGTTCCCAAACAATACTATTTGGGCGATTGCCCTCGGGGGTGACAATCGCACTTGGATTTACGTCTCAAACAATGCGTTTTTAAATTATAGGGATGGTGAGGAAATTTATCGCGTTGCAGAGAGAAGAAAAGGAAGAAAGTGACCGTGAAATTCATATCGTTATCTTTTTCTGTGCATCATGATAGGTCCAGATCCGGGAGGTTACGACAACGCCTTTGTCAAATCCACGATCCCGTCGAAAGCCGCCAGAATCCCGGGAGGCACCACCACCACACTCACCATTGACTTCACGACCGCGGTTAACCTAACAAATGACGGGAATATTTCTGTGTGGCAACTTAACAGCTCCTCACAACCGGCATACTCGATGTCTGCCACAATTTCTTCGTTACATTCCCCGAACTCCTTGAATTCGGTGGCAACTTTGTTGGGGTTCCTTTCCAATTCATCCTCGTCGAATCCGAGTGTACTATCCTCTTACCTCACATACGCATCCTCATCGCCAGTCTCCTCCATCCTTCGGCAAACCTTTTCCGGACTGAATTCTCGGTTTGTACGTCAAATCAACGATACCACCGTGGAGTTTGATGCACTGGAGAGTACATTCAATCAGGAGGGAGTGATATATTTTGTCGTCATGGATAATGGGTTCGTGGAGAATAGCGTCGTCTCTCAACCGTTGTTAGGGTTGAATCCGTTGGCTTGGAACTTCACCACAGGTAGGTTTGTTTTTTGGAATGTCCTGGAGGAGGGAATGGAGGATAGTTGCATGTGAATTATCTTTAGGTGGTTATTTGGGGATTAAAAATGATCATTGAGAGACGCGTTTATTAAATATCATGACGTAAAGTGGTTACAAGATTTCTAATATTTCCGATCTTTCTTAGATTCCGGCAAACCGGATACAAACTCAGGTACATAAATAAATACACTATGTATCAAAAAGAAAGAATTCTTCTGGTTTCCCCTCTCCCAACATTCTCTCAATTTTTCAAAGGTCCCTTGAATGCAATAATCCGCCTAACACCCGAGGGTACATCTTATTACACCTCATTGTCGACAGAGAACAAAACAATGTTTGTTGATCAACTGTCCAAAGAGATATCATCGGCGATCCCATGTTCCTCCACCCGATTAAGCGTGAACAGGCATTACCAATTCGACACTAGTGTGCCTGCGCCACAGATCTTGATGAGGATTAACGTGGGCGCCGTCCCTTTGACAAACGTGAGCACAGAATCGACGACCTTGGCCGGTATCCGAAATGAACGAAGTTCACCGAGAGTGGTACAGGATCTGAATACTCTGATTCAGAATCGAGATGTTACCCCGATATCACTGATGCCGTTCACAAGTTTTTTGGATGCCGAGTTCGGATGTCGAACTTTGCGTATGTATCTTTTCCGTAGAGGAGGGCGAGGGTCGGTCGGCCGGTTGTTTGTTTGTTTGCTTGCTTCCTTTTGAGAATCTTTTTACTAACGATCCATTCCCATGCGTAATTCCATGCAGCTTCCCTGTGGACGAGATACCGGTGGATATTGTTTGGCGTGTCTTTTGGATTATTGATACTGCTCATCGCGTTTTTGATATGTCGAAGAAGACATAGAAAGGTGATTCATTAGTTTGCGTACAATAATTATTTGTCGGCATCATTTTGTTTTTTTTTCGCATCGTGTTCACATTGCGTTCTTCACCATCATAGGGAAGAAATTTCATAATTTTCACATCCACACTGACCGCCGTGGATTTCGTGATGGACGTATTGTTTGTAAGATTCAACGGTCATGATTTGAAATGGTTATTTGATGCTAGGTGAGTGTTCGATCACAAGTGCTATGACGTTCCTTGGTCTGTGCGTCACACCTAATAAGCTCATAACCTAATTGCTCTCGTCACTAGCATCTCGTTTCTAATAATTCCAATCGGCATAAACTCCCTCCTCACCTTTCTCATTATCACCCGCGAGACTTCCGAAAGCAATAGATTTAGTAGATGGTGGTTTAGAAATTCGAGAGTCGCGTTGACATTAACATTATTGTCTGCCGTGGACGTGGAGTCTTTAAATGTCATATTGATGGAATGTGAGAAAGCGCTCGTTCCATTCACAAATAGTGGATTGAGGTATATTATTATGTTCAATTTGTTCAGCATTTGTATCGAGGATCTGCCTCAGCTTGTTATTTTGGTAGGTTCATTTATTCATTTATTGTATTAATGATTATTTGCGAGGTATTCCGCGTGTTCACCTTTTCTAACGCCTTCTTAGATACTATATCAACTATACACAGTTGTCCCGGCGATAATACCGATATTGACATTATCATCATGCAGCATAGTATTACTGTTCAAGATAATAAACGTGATATACCTGTGTAAAGGTCCGAGATCGCCAGAATTAACAAAGAAACCATCCGACGATGGTCAAGCTGAACCAAAAGACATTGAGCTGACACGCGACTCGTCCAACGGTTCCAGTGAGGACCCGGGAAGCGAAACATTCCCATCACTTTCACCAAGAATACAGGATTTAATGCCAGAAGTGAAGCATGTGTCGACAGTGAAACCGGTGATAGATAGCATCAAGAATCCGCCGGAGAACGTTATTGAGGGTGAATCTGCCGAGATGGGACGAACCAGTGTATCCCCCGAGATAGAGCAAACCATGTCACCTGCATCTACAACAGTTAACTTAATAGCACCCACGAGTGAACCATATAAATCCAAGATGATCGAACAAATTGATGTTCCCGAAGAGCAATTGACGACACCACCCAAGAAATCCCTGCTGGGCGGCCTGTTCGGTGGTAAGTTAGCAAGGAGGGACCCGAGCGAGGGTGGGAGTGGAGGCGATAAAGGAAAATCACGAGAAGCGATGTCGAGGTCACCTAAAGAGCACACAGGTGATGATGATCATGATGATGATGATGATGATGATGGTGGTGGTGGTGAGGGTGATGGTGAGGGTGATGGTGAGGGTGGTGGTGAGGGTGGTGGTGAGGGTGGTGGTGAGGGAAAAAATATTGTGTAATGTTTACTGTAGATTTGATATTTTGGGGCTGAACTTTTTAACAACGTCTCTGATGAACAAACATAATATTAATGTTAATGATTTCATTCGGTGCAAGTGAGACCATGTATAAAAACTCAAATGATGTTTATTTCTCTAGCATGAATAGTATTTTTTTATTTTATTTTATTTTGTATTTTTAGTAGAAATCTAATATGTATAAAAAACTTCACACTTCGTATCACTTTCACGAAAATTCACTTTCGTCACGAACAACGAGCATAATATTTAGAAACGATCTTGATTTTATTTACGTCATGACAATGATAATCGATGCACCTTTACATCATGCACATACGTATTTTGGCAATTTGTCGGTCTCACCAAACTCTAGAAATGTTACGGTTTAAACTGCTGACAACCACTCGGCAACTCACCTGCAATTTATCACCGCTCTCTTGCATTCGCAATCCAAAAAATCCCAGTTTCAATCTAATAAAACACGAATGGATAAACACCAGAACTTATGTACCACGTACCGCGATCAGGAGCGATTTTGGGGGAAGACGTGTTAAACCGTCAATCATAAGGCCGGTTTTATTCACGCTTTTCGCCTCGGGCACATCATTCGTTGCGGCCCTATCATATTTAGAGTATCGACGAAGAAAGACTCGACGCAGGTACTGGCAAGAGGGTATATTTGATGGACGCGTCAGATACGGTGAGGACAGGTCGAACGGTTCGGAATGGTTTGAGAGTATTTCCCGACATTTCGAAGCAGTAAAACGGTCAGATCTTTACCAAGAGTTTCGAAGGAATTGGAATCTTGTAAGGAATAAATGGCGTTCAATGGACGATGGGAAAAAGACCTTGGCGGTTTTGATTGGTATCAACGCTGTGGTGTTTGGAATGTGGCAAGTACCGATGTTGCAACCTTTCATGAACAAATATTTCGTTCACCACCCACTTTCAGGCAGAGTGATCACTTTGCTCACGTCAATGTTTAGTCATCACCATCTTTGGCATTTCGGAATGAATATGACCGCATTGTACTGTTTTGGAGATATTGTTTATCATCTCTTGGGAAAAGAACAATTTTTGTCGTTTTACATTACTTCAGGAATAGCTTCATCATGCGTGAGTCATGTCGTTTCGCTGACATTTATGAACTGGAAAAACGTAATGCCATCTTTAGGCGCCTCAGGGGCTATTTACGCTTGTCTTAGTGCTGTGGCGATGGAATATCCAAATGAGTCGGTGGTTTTGATCTTTCTGCCTTTCTTTCCCATAAAGATCGGATACGCACTTCCCGCATTGATAGCATTTGATTTATTCGGTATTGTTTCCGGAATGAGAATATTTGATCATTTTGCAAGTATCCATTTTTATTTCAGGTTTTCCTCATTATTATTAATATATCTATTTTTTTAACATGATTGACTTTTTCAAACTCCCCCACCAACAGGCTCATCTCTCCGGCGCCTTATTTGGTCTCGTGTACAATAAATATGGCAAAGAACAATACTGGAGGGCTGCGAAGGCATTGAGACAATTTTAAGTTATCAACTTTACAGACATTAATTACGTGAATTTATGTGTATCCAGAAAGTTTGGATCTACATCACGTTAAATCAAATAGTTTTAGAAAGTACTTCTCAATTCATTTCTTAATATTTATGGTTTGAAAAATTTTCGAATGAATGTACATATTAATATATTATAAAATTTGATTTGTTTCTTTGTTTAATTAAAAAGATTTTATTACAGAAATCGAGGGAACAAACCATTTAACTGTGAAAATCAATCACCTGAATCTGAGTCGTAACCATCAAGACATAACCTGGCGACCATTTTTTTTTTTTTTTAGAAAAAAAAAGGCTTGGCTGAATTATCAGAGATATAATAATTTAGAGTTTCAAAATCAATTTGATACAGTATATTGAAAATATATACATTATATATAACAAATTGATTCAAATATATATGGAGAAAATAATTTATTAATTATGCAAAATATATAATAGATCAAATCTTTTTTTTTTTAATCAAAATTATTGTGAAATAAACTTTAGCATGTATTGTGCTTATTAGGAGAATTATCTTGCAAGTGATTTTTTTACTTTTAATCATTAATCTTGATTAATCTCAAATTCATAATTTTTATTAAGAATCGATTTTCTATTATAAACATACTTCTTAAATAATATTTATTTAAAATATTTTATTATAAATTAACAAAGCTTTAATATTATATCTAATATATGGCATATTTTTTTATAACTATAACAATCTAAAGCAAAAAGAAAAAAGAGATGAAACATATCATTATCATTTTAAGTAACAAACAAGAAGCAATCAAGATTTGCAACAATCTACTATCCAATATGGATAATAAATACATGGATCTCATGGAATACACAAATCCAGTCTTAAAACAGGAAAACAATATCAGAGTATGGAACATCCTTCTGGACATCAAACTTATAGAAGTGCAACAATCCTTTGTTAAATACAAAAAGATTAGCAATATCACAATATCAACACAATAAATGTTATAGATAGCAATGATTACTTACATAAATAAAGAGGACAAAGATATTCTAATTGACATATAAAGAGTCCTTCTCAAAACAGACTCGGTAAGAGTTTTTACGTACAATAGAACATGAATTCAATAAAAGTATATGATCAAATTGCAACAAAACTCATCAGCCTTCTATCCAATATCACTATATTCAATCTGAGAAGAATTTGTGAACAAATCAAGATCAAGACCTGTTACATTCCAAGAAGGATATCATATCAAAGAAAGAGATTCATAGTTATTAGTTTTATTAACCAAGAAGACTTAGAAGCTATTATATTTCAAGAATTTCAATTTAAAGACTTCAACTACAACTGGTAACCAATTGAAGCCAAACTATATACAATTTATGATAGTCCAGATCACATACTTAATGGTTGCCCAATTAAAAAAAAGAAGAATGCAATAGAGAGAATATAACAAAAAACAAGCAAACAAGTTTGAAAAGCAATATAACAAGTTTAGACTGACATATACTACCTCAATCAGAAATCAAATCAGATCTCACAGCATTATCATATCAAGCTAGAATTCTATGCAGCAGTTATAAAATCTAAATAATACTAATTAAGCCAGACAGAAGAGAGCATCTTAATACTAGCCAACATTATGGTCTTCCTAAAAGAAATTAAACAAATATTATCAATCTAAATGAAAAAGTATATAATCTAGAGGTCCTAAAAGACAATTCTCAGATACCATTATAACTAAGAATTAAGAAGAAGACCTATCAAATCAAAACAAGACTTCCAATATACAACCAAATAAGAAAGGGCACTCTAATATCTGAATTCAAAAATAACAGATTTATGAGTCCGTAAGTAAGATGGATCAAAATATGCATAAGGCATTAAATGCAATTTTAAAACTAATTCTTAATGCAACCTCTTCCTTCTCTAGAAATCATCAATGAGCTACACATCAAAATCTTTTTTATTGGAAAATTTATTATATAACAATTATGATACAAAATCAGGAAAATATCTAAGAATATATAAAAACAAACTTCATTAGATCTCACTACCCACCCAAATAATAATATATTAGAAAACAACTCTAGTAACATTAACTCTATGGCACACAATAAAATAGATATTCAACATCCAATTTGGTAAACCACAACTATTAATATTTAAGGTTTAATAAACAAATACAAGAGAGAAATTTGATTTAACTAGTATACTACAAATAACTGGAATATCATAGTAACAACCGAGATCAATAATACCTACCAATAATTAAAACATTGAAAACATCTATTTTACAACATAATCTGATCACACAATAATAAATAAACATTCAGATAAGAATTAAATCTAATGATCAAAAAAGATATAGTAGACCATATTTATAAATATGACAATTGGAAAGAAAGACTTATCCACATAATCCTCAACTTTCTCAAGAAACAAAAATTCAGGATTATAGGTATTTACTTCCACTCAGACAAGAGAGATAAAGGATGGCAAGATACCATCAACAAACTAAGCAATAGATGAGAGAAGCCCTTCAAAAGAACTGGTATCTCTTTATCTTAGGAGACCTCAATAGAGTTGTTAATCCAGTATAGGATAAAAACAGCATGCATAAACAATTGACATCTAACAAACTGATAGGTTCCCAATTTAAATACTTATAGATTACAGTCTAGAGGATACATATAAACTCTACAATTCAAGTAAAAGTATATTTACCTAGTGCTAGAATAACAGCAGTAGCAAAATTAATCAAATTTAGATAAATATACTCCCTTTGTAACAAAGAAGAAAAGTCTATATTGGAGAAGTCCTAGATCTTCAAATTTCTAGCAACCACAAATCTATTATAACTGAGATAGAAACATAATAACTAAACTCACACAAGAAGACTTCCTGTCACTAGCAAAACCACAGGTACAACTAGTAGTTAGTCAATAGCAAACAATGGAAAAAATTCTTTCTAAAAGTTGACAAAGTCCTAGATAAGCAAAGCACAAAGCCAAAATCGATAGATAGGCAATGAAACAGTATATACAACTATATCCTAAAAACAGCCAAGCTCCACATTCCAAAAAGAAAACAATACAAGAAGAAAAGAATAATTAAAGAGGAAGATATAACCAAAGACCCTCTAATACAGATACAATTCCTTTATAACAAATGAAAACCATTCAGAAAATAAATAAACCATCTCCTATCCTACCAAAACAACTTCAAGAAAAGTTTTAAAATATTCAGTAGCATCTGACAAAGCTAAAGATAGAATACTTAAATAATTTCCTGCAGTATTGGCTAGGCTATATATAGAAAATCATATATGGTCACAAAGTCATTACTTAAGCAATTATCCATAGAAAACAAGCTCTAGCAATAAAATATAGAACTTTAAGTAAACAAGCATACTTAGCAACAAACAAAAAAATCTTGAACAATAGTATTATGGAAAAACCTAGAAGAGCCATTATTCTGGATAAGATTATTATAGAAGACAAAGAGGTTTTAATTATAATCAATCCAAAAGAAATCAAAATTAGGATTAGACAATATTTCAAGGACTGAATATCAGCCAGAAACATTAGATCAATCACCAACTTTTCTTACTGGATAGTAAAATATAAATAAAAAAAAAACATCAATCTTAGATAATATTATTAAACTCCTATCAAATATTTACTAAAAAAATCAAAAAAGCAATCTAAGACAAAAATGCAAAATCAGTTTCCAGAAGAAATCAAATTTCCTATATAACTTATAAAAAACTGGAAGTCAAAGCAATAGAAAAAATTTGCTCCTTTTTTAACCAAATTATAAGAGAAGATAATATCTCAAACAATTGAAGCAAAGGTGACATTTATATAATATTAAAATCAAAAAACTGGCAAAACAATCTAAATGTTACAAGATCGATTACACTTCTAGATGTAGGAAGGAAGATTTTCACAAAAATTATTAGAAATAGATTGGTATACTATGTAGAAGACTATATAATTCTTTTAGAATTAAATTGGATAGCACTTCTTGGCTGCAGTATATAGGGACCAATCCATATAATAAACAATATTATAAAATATACAAAAGATATAAAAAAACAAGCTTGGATTCTTAGTCAAGATATGTTAAAAGCATATAACTCAGTCAATCTGAAAATACTAACCCTAGCACTTAGACATATCAGATTTCTACTAAAATCATTAATATTCTTCTAAATATATTTAACCAAAGACAAAATATAATATTAACAAGTTATAAATCCACAGAAGAATACAATATTGAAGATAGTATTGATCAAGGAGACACAATATTTCTACCTTGATATATTTTCTATAATCTCCTTATAACCAAATTGATCAAAACTTTATAGTATATACAATTTATATAAAAATACTGTATATAGGAATTTTCAAGAAGGCTAGTTAATAA